AAGGCATCACACTAGTGCTGATTATCTGATGGACAGGAAGCAACATCACATCAGTGACCTGAAGAAAAAATCGCGATCAGAGTGCAGGATCACAACAAATGCTAAACACATTTTCCTAGATGATACGTCAACCAAAAATCCTGTGAGTACCCCTATACGAAACATATTGGTGACCAAATTAGAGAAATACATTCCTTAACCACTTAACATACGTGCCCGTGTGAACGCGTCTTACTGACAAATTTGTACGCGCTCGACTGGGACACATTTTATATTTACTCATCAAATTTTTCATGCTCGTTCAAGATGCGGGAAAGTTCTAATATTTGTATAGAAGTCTGCACATAAATGCTTTTTTATTAAAAATAGATGTCATTTTTTTACCAAAAATTAAAAATAAATGTGTACATTAAGTGATTAATTGTTCAGCCTATACCATTCCGGCATGTCGAAATAATATGTTAATATCCAAAACTCGGTTACAAGCGGAAAATGTGCCATCAACAGCATCATCTGCCATCACATAGCGCAGAGAACAATTTGAGTAGAACAACAGTTGGCAAACGAACAATGTGACAGTGCGTAGTGGTTAATGAAGCTTCTTTTTATTTTATGAATAGAGTGGGCGGAAAAAAGCAAAACAATCCTATAGGCTATCCATTTCTATATGAAACTGAAACGCAAAGGTCGCTGTTTCACAAAAATCATAGTGCAAACTTTTCTCAAGATCAAGTCACTGGAGAAGGAAGAATAAAGCTCTAACATATACGGAAGTCACGTACAGTTTGCTTTCAATCCTGTTCGCCATGTACTGATAGTCTGCATAGTCGCCTCCTATGCCAACCATCACTTTGTCGTTCACTTTGAACAGCCTCGAAATATTTTTGTACCTCGCCAGTTTGCCATAAGAGGCGAGACTGTCAGCAGCAACAGCTACACCCTTATCGTAAACAACCCCTACGACTGATGAACCGGTACATATTGGTTCCCTAAAACAAGCATAAAATAATCGATACGAATAAAATTAAATGTCTTCGCCGTCGGTACGTTGTTGCTTTCTGAGGATCGGCGCTGCGCAAGTTAGCCGTGAACACCATCGCAAAAGGATTCGAGACTATCTAAATAAAAACTGCTTCGCTGTCACTGGCAAACTGCTTCATGGTAAAATGCCGCGCCAAGAGTTAAATGAACAAATATTCAACAAACGACGGCTTTGGATGTGCAACACTGTTTTCCGAATTTAAGTTTTTGAAAAACATAGACTGTTCTACCACTGAAAAGGCATTATAGAATGTACATATCAATACACCGCTGCCCTGTTATGACTCATTTTGCGAACAAGTTCTTTTGTCACATTCAAAACTACTGACACTTAAAAATTTTTGCTCAGCTGCATTTGCCTTACAAACAAGTTAACCAGTCACTAATAGTACGATAGGCAGACAAACCGCGCGCGTAAAAATATTGATCACCAAGGGGTCACTACTTCTCCAAAAGACAACAATAAACTAGCGCTCACGCATGCGCACCGCTTGTAATGCAAACTGACCTAGTCAGCCAGTCAATGGAGTACGTAATGCGTGACGCCATCGACACCAAGCCGTTGAAAGATCCGCAAGGAAAGAACAGCTATAATGACACTCGCTATCTCTCGTATTCGGTCAGGAATCAAATCCATCTGTGTGACGCAATAAGATGTTGCCTTCCGCATGCACACAGTTTAAAAGCTGAACGTGTTGTGACTCTCGCTGCTCCTCCATGTTCTATCTGTTTGAGGAGTACTGTAATTCTTGCAGTGAAATAAGTTTGAACACGGAGACAAGAGAAGATTTAGGAGTTGCTGACAAAATCCGTTCATGTGATGCCCGAGAATCACCGCTGGTACTTGATACAGAAAGACTACAGCCTGCTAATATCTTTTTTCGGATGGTACCAAATTTCAGATCCATACAGCAAAACAGGTAAGGACCGGGTTTTCGGCAAACGGCTGCAACATCGTTTGAAGATCAACCTTCAAACTTGTTTTAAATTATCGTTAGTAGTGCAAGAGCGATATCGTAACATAGGTGAGTCAAACCAGTTTTAAGCAGCACCTTTGAACTGTATCATCTAAGGGAATAGTGCCCCGTTTCAAGACAAACAAATTCAAACGCCGAATCCACTTTCTGTCAGACAGCATACCAATCGTCAATATGAATTTTAAATCAGTTAACAGTAGTTTCAATATCATCTCAAAATTCTGTGTAAACACATCGTCATACAGCGTATCGATGGATAGCTCACTGCGACCTTCACAATGAGATCAACTTTATGTTCATATTTTTGCCATATATGCTTTGTTTGCCTGTCCTACGCCTGACGACAGTACATGTGACTTTCCGGTCGAATGGCCTCGTGCAAACAAGGTACTGCGACTGAGCAATAGATACTGATTGACTTAATTGCCACGCAAGACTATTCGATGTAAAACGTAAGGTAAAATAAGCGTTAATTTGAAATTCAAATCTTTTAAGAAAGTTCTGTAATGCAGTCATTAAGTGCTACTAACTAATATGCAAATTGACAAATGGGGTGAAAAATTGGACACAGAAGAACATCAAAGAACCTTAATCTTTGGCTACAGGAAATAAAATAAAAGCGGGAAAAACGCTATTCGACACAAAAATATCTGTTGCCTTCTAAATGGATCAAGCCATGTAAGAATTTAAATTTATATAGTAAGATCAAATCTATCTCATAATGTCGTTCAGGGAGGGCCATCAGCGAGAAAATCACTTTGCTTCTGCGTTAGAAAATTATAAAGCTATATCTACAGTTATGCTAACATTCCAGGCGAGATATCTCCTACCAACTCAATAAGAGATGTAACTTCGCCAGTACAAAGCACCTTTAATTTGGAAGTGGATACAAGGCTATTTTATTGATATAAAATTAAAACGCTAATAATTTCTTTCGATATTATTCCCTCAAGATAAGTCATTTGTTGTAGGCACCGCTAATGCGCTAAAACAAACGCTAAATAGACAGTGAGATTTAACTATTCGAAATTTGGCTGGGACTCGGTTCCCATGTTATGAATTTACTTTGCCAGTATAAACTGTCATTCAATCATAAACTAACAGATCTCCTGTTACCTAAAGGCTGTAACTGCTTTCTTACGTAAAATAATGTTAGGTGTTCGTAGAGGTAAGTTAAATTAACAGCACAACTCTGGTTATCACATGGACATCTGAGACATAAGATCCTGTTCAACGTCAGCAACAGCAAACAATGCAGAAACAACGCCATTCCCAACGACTGGCTCCTTTTACGCATTTCACGACCCTGCGCCAACACGTGATATGCGAGAATACGATAAACGTAAGAAAGTCAACAGCCAGCGAATGTGTAAACGCAAAACGACAGAAAGTAAACAGGCACACGACAGCATAAAAGTTTATTGCATATGTGATCATCACCATCAGAAGTGTTAAACACCGTGCCGCGAGACGGACAGCGCTTCCGTTTCTAAAATGCATTTGTACTTTCCGAACGTATTTGACAAAACCGCGGGTAAAATGGCATGTAGCAGCTGCGTCGCTTTCGGACGAATGAGGTAATGAATACATCAACTTGGGCAATGACTAAGATGCAGAAGAATAATTTGACAAAGAGTAGTGCACTAAAGAAGGAACTGAAACTGAAGATCAGCGAAGACAAACAGCATTATCTGTTCCTACCTGGGCACTGCAAATCTTCGGTTTTACATTTCATCCGACAACAAACTCGACACATATCAAACTGGCAATTCTTGTTCTAAAAGAAAAGTACGAACCCACTTGAACGCTAAATACGTTTTCAAATGAAAAGTCACCGAATCGATTACTCCGATTAAAAGAATGTTTAACGTACAAATCCTACAATAAATTACAGCGCTTAATTTTGTATTCCGATTTCACCAAAGTCAGGGTCACTCCGTCGTAACTGTTCCACTGCAGTCGATAGAGAGTGGGTTCAAATCCCGGCCGAATCATTCTCCTTTATCCTCTTGAGGTTTAAAGCCGATTACAACAATATGGAACAACGCAGGGGGCCACATACTCTGCTGTGGCCATCAAGCTGTAGTTGTTCAAAACAAGAAATAATACAGCACTCCTAATGAAGGCACGGTTACGGAGATCAACTATATATCATATGCCCCAAGAAAATAGGCTATTGATACTTCTACATCGTGAAAGAGACCAATATCCAAACGGTTATAAAAATCTTGTCGTTTTAGCTTTCAACAAACTACTTCGGCATACGCGTAACGGATAACTAACAGCGACCAAAGCGAGGATAGCATGGCAGAGCAAAGTCAATGGAGGTTTTCAGTCATTTCTTAACAGTGAAAACGTGCCCTGATCTCTGGCGCAGTCAGCTAATTTAGTTCTGGTAGTCAGGGCTGACAGAGCTTCTCATGTATTTTAAGAAAGTTTTATCTAACTGAAGGACACTCGATTTCAAACCGAACAGAAATATCAGAGGCTAATGCTCATGTTAATCACCTAAAATCATGAATCACATGAATCTGCTTGATTGGGTAACTTCCCTGATGGATGACAGCTGAATACGATTGGGGACCCTAGACAAAGAGTAGCGAAAGAAATCAGGAACTAGAGAAACAACATCTTTCGCGTCAATCAGACAGCCGACGACAGGGGGAATTTACTGCAATAAAACTGCCCAAACGTTTAAATTCATGTGGTCCTCCTCATGCTGACATTTGTTGTTCTACAAGGCTACGAAAAAACTATGAATAATCGAAACAAGAAATTACTTTCCATGAACGACGGAGTGACGTTAGAATCTATACGGCAATGTCTCTATTTCTTCAATGAGAGCTGTCAATGCAATTCGTAAAATCACAAGTGAAGCAAACAAGCACCATGATTTGGAAGGAGCTTTTGAGATTTATGGTCAGTGGTCATAGTGAGCAGCTACTTCTGTTTAACGTACGCAGTAAGAACACCACATGTGCCTACGTTTAGAGTAATGCCGAGGAAACGAGAAAGGCTAAAATCCGAATATTTCTCCCACTACAAAATAAAGGCCACAAACTTTAAGCGCGTTATTACTACAGCAGTGTTTTCACCATTCCCTTATTGGTTCATCTGCAAAGAAACGCGTCGATGGGCGGAAAAGTTCATTTCTCTGCTGCTTGTTTTGAATGCCACCCGGTCTAGGGTGAATGGAGTGAGCGAATAACACATGGACCATAGATAAGAACAACTTCAAAGACTGCTTACGAAAAAAACTCTGAAAATCCACATTCTTGAGATCGCGTTTTATTAAAAAATTGGAAATTTACGTAAATTTTTCAGGTACGATAATCTTCGTAACTGGTAAACACCGCACAGCTCCAAACAATCGGCGCTACTGAGCTACTGCCGTGAAGTGAAATACTGACTTTCTGTGCCAGCCTGAAAGGTGCGACTGCCAGTGGTTATAATTTATGATCAAATCCGTCTGTCCACTGACGGATCAAACTGTATGGAAATCAGTCAGTCAACCACAACTTTATACATGACGCAAAAGTACCGCCCTACGAAGAAGGGAAGCAGGAAACTGAATAGGAAAGGGAAATTCCTGCCTTCATGCAAATATGCGAACCAACATCCAAACATTCACAGGTTTTCATTTCGCTTTTCTTTCAAAAACGATACCTTAGTGTTACCGCAACGACAATCAGAGATTTCAGAAAACTGCCGCAGCTTGGCGTGCGGGTTCCGACCCAACTTTTTGACTTGCTTGCGTGACAATCCGCATTCAGAAGCTAGCTCCCGTATCTTTTCGTGCTGACTGATTCGGAAGTTGCGTCGCATTTGTTCGAGTTGCTCGCTTTCAGCTACAAGGTTGTAAGACGACGGACGAACATACGGCTGACAAATCCAATGAGGAAATGGAAGCAACTTGTCGCAGACGGATTCCGGATTATCAACGAACTTGAAGTGATCTATCTATCATAGAAAGACGCATACACTATTTCCATAAAATTCTGCTTCATTACCACAAAGCGATTTCGAACCTCATCGACCACGTGCCGGAACTGTTCCAAATTTTCCGCCACTGCCAACTGTTCCCGCACATCTGGACAAAACAGCAAACTGGAATAATCGAAATCACAAGATTATAATCGCCGGTAAGAAAACACGAACCACTGATGAAGCACCTTAAACAGATGACCTCGCACAAACGAAACTGGTGTAGGAACATCCTGAACGATATCTAAGTATTCAAAAAGAGGTTCCCATACTGGAGGTTGCACGTTGTCGAACAAGTACGGGTTATGTAAATTGCCTTCTAAAGCATTCGCATGTCAAAGTAAAGACAAATCGCTTTACGGCAAACCTGCCGTCATTACTGCATCGGCGCCCGTTTCTTGGAAACAGCGATCGATATCCGAATAGAACTGAATATTGCCATTGGCTATCACCGGAATGTTGACAGATTCCCTGAAAATGCCGTGGTATCAGTAACGCAAAACATTCACTATTATATACTTTATAAATCTGATATGAGACCAGCTAGCCACGCCTGTATTGATGCCCTTCTGCTCCCGGGTCCGGCCATGAACGGCCAGCAACTAAAGCATCCAGGCGCAATAGTACAAAGTGAGAAACAGACAAATATCAGTCAAAATAAAAATCAAGTCCCCCACTGGTGATTAATTATAAACAACTAAAATAAATACTATTATTGTCGGTGCATTATCATAAATTTCAATCACTAAACAAACGTCATTATATGTATATGGTTGTATGCATCCCACGAGTTGTGCGTTTCATTTAATTAATTACCTGACACCCAGAACTCTCCAGCATTTTTGCATAGTCGATGGAGCGTGAAACGTCATCGAAAATGCGTACTTTGCAGCTAACGGCCACGTTCAGGTTCATTCGGAGAGTCCGGACTAAAAAGAACGCAAAGGATAGTAAAAAATTAAAACTATATGATAATGCGTACTCATCGAGTGGATTAACTCCCATTCGTCTTGTAGATATGCACCATAGTGTCCATGACGCGCCACTGTTTGAGGACAGCCTAAATTTAGGTCTATGCCGTCACAATGAGGCAAAACCAGTTCACAGGCACTTAAAAGTACGCCAGGGTCGTTGGCACAAAACTAAAAATTTGAAAAACCATCTATAATATATAAAAACATACTACAACACATTTTTGCTTTGAAAAGAATTAAGAGTAAAAATAACTGGCGCGCACCAGTGCTAAACTGCATGCAGCGCGAAAACTGTTATACTGGCATAAATTGTTTTCTGACGCAATTAAGAAAAATCAGAACTGTCGACGATCACCACGTAAGCGAATTTCATGATATTCGGACAGCTTTATCAACTTAATGTGTTACACTCAACCGTATGTCAAACACTATTAATCTCGTTTTCAAGTTTAGTTCCCTAATGTTACCTGCACACCTGTAACAGAAACAGAATATTCAATCCTTACATGTGCTGCCATTTTATCCCCATTATATATGCTGAAGCCTTCATAAACTGCAGACCACGTAATGCAGCATAGACAGATGCACGTTCGGATAAGAATAATAAAAGCAACAACAAGATTTTCGATGTCATTGCCTGAGTGAAGAAGCTAAACTGGCAATGGACAGAACATGTTGCAAGAAGCATTGTTTCACCAAAGGGGCATTGCACTGAAACCCAAGAGAGAGTAAACGGTCAGCAGGACAACCGCAAAATCGACGGCAAATTGAGTTTAATTTCGCTGAAAGTACAAGTTTATGGCAAAGTCAAGGAGATGCCTTCATCCAGCAGTGGATCAAAAAAGGCTGATGATGATATACATTGAAGTCAACGTTGTCGTATGCTGCTCAACCGTATTAAATTCTAAGTTAAAAATATCCCCACACCGCACAACAACACTGATCTAATCGAGAACAGTACAGATAGGGCTTCCGATGGGGGAAGAATGCCCTTTATTGGCCCAAACACTGAAGGGGTTGCCGAAAATTCTAAATCGTAGATGATTCTCCTACTTAACCGCAGCTGACTAGTAAAGTTGATGCAGATGATAGATTCGAGGAAACAGGTCGACTTTCTTAATCATTTTATGTCAGCGATGCACCTCCAAACCTGTTGCGCCGAATTAGTTTCTCATAACTTCTGAACATTGTAAGGAAAAAACGAGCTGCCGAGGCTGTCTTTCACACGGAAACGGTCATATCATTAAGCCAAATTTCGCATTACATCAATCGGTCGGTAGATCAGTCAGTCAGTTTCGAGGATCGCCTATCCTTTCAGGTCACGGAGACAGAGGCGTAAGAAAGTGCTTCCCGATCCTGCGCCAGTGTTTGAGCTTCAGCAAAAAATAACATGAGTCCGGAGTAGAGTCCCTCCGTGCACTAACAAATTACTGAAAGCCATCCAAGAGGATTTCAGCCGGTCGCTTGGGCAACTAGTAGCTGTTTCGCCTTGATTTCTAAAAGCAACACTAGTCTTTCTGCGGTTGTTCAAAGAACTCTCTCAATCGTCCAAGTATGTCTTCATCGGTAAGAAGGCGTTTAGACTTGTCCCTCAGGCCTTCTTATGGCTCTTCTAATGGCCTGCCATAAGAATTAGATCGTCTGAAAATTCGACTTCAACACCTCACTGAACTTTTTCAAGAAATCAGTCTTTCCTTTTGCTCTTACGTTCGCTGTCACTCTGCGAGCTCCTTTGTGCTTCACAGGAGTTAAAGACTCCATGCTTCCAAGCCATCTTTTGAACGCCGCTTTCTTCTCCGTGACAGTCAGCTGAATTTCTCGTATCAAACAGCCCGTAGCCCTGAGTAAGCTGCTCTGAAATGGCTTCCATTCGGTTTCCACATCAGCGTTCATCACTGAGATCTGCTCAAACTATCCTGCGAAGTTGTCTACACGTTTTGCCCTCATATCCGCAGAAATTGATGTTTCACATTTGATTTTGTAGATACCTCGTTCGCAGGTCTTCGCATGATGCTCCATCATTTGCAGGGAAATGTGCCAACAGCAAGATGATGTTGGCTGACATCTCTGCGTCTCTCTTAATGCAAATATCGAAGAG